AAGCGTATCCGCAAGATAGCGGGTAAGTTCGTTCCCGATGTTTCACCGGTCCTTCACCTCCATGATACTCTTGTGGCGGACCCGTTGCAGGTCACTTCCGAACTGGGTTCCCACTTTTCTTCTGTTAGCTCTGGTCTTCATCTTCCCCAATCTTTCCTTCTTCGTAAACCTGTCCTTGAGTCTCGTCCTTTAGATTTCTGCACTCATCTTCAGCTTCCCTATAATGATCCCTTCTCTCTCTCTGAACTTCGTTCTGCCCTGGCCCTCTGCGGTTCTACGGCGGCGGGCTCCGATGGTATTCATTATGAGATGCTTCGCCATCTCCCTCCGAGCACGTCTCAGTATTTACTGAGTCTGTATAATCGGATCTGGGAGTCGTCGTCAGTCCCTGAGGACTGGCTCGATGCCGTTGTCCTCCCTGTTCGCAAACCGGGGTCTCTGGGTACTTCCCCTAAGGACTTTCGCCCTATTGCTCTCACAAGTTGTGTCTGCAAACTCTTTGAACGTATGGTTAACGTTCGTCTGATGTGGTTCCTGGAACACCATCACCTCCTCTCCCCTTCTCAATTTGGTTTCCGCAAGTGCCGCAGCACGACAGATGTCCTGGTGAACTTGGAGGTCTATATTCGTACTGCTTTTGCTGCGAAGACCTCCGTTGTTGCCGTCCTTTTTGACCTAGAAAAGGCTTACGACACCACTTGGCGTTATCATATCCTATCTCAACTTCATTCTTTTGGCCTTCGTGGTCATCTCCCTCTCTTTCTCCGCAGCTTCCTCTCTCGTCGTTCCTTTTGGGTGCGCCTTGGTACCGCTCTCTCTCCCTCTTTTCAGCAATACGAAGGTGTGCCCCAGGGTAGTGTTCTGAGCACTACTCTTTTTCTGGTTGCCCTCAATGGTCTTCTTTCCTCTCTTCCTTCTGGTGTATTCTCCGCTCTCTATGTCGATGATCTTACCCTTTGTTGTCAGGGTGATGATTCGCCTTTCCTTCAACGCCGGCTTTAACTTGCCATTGATGCCGTGTCGTCTTGGGCCACAGGTCATGGCTTCAAGTTCTCTACTTCTAAGACTTGTGCCATGACTTTTACGCGGAAACGGGTTGTTCTTCGTCCCTCTTTGTCACTTTATGGTCATCCCCTTGAATACAAAGATTCCGCGAAGCTTTTGGGGTTATTCCTTGACACTCGTTTGTCTTGGTCTCCCCATATCTCTTACCTCCGTGTTGAGTGCTCTAAGGCCCTTACCCTCCTTCGGGTCTTGTCCCATACTTCTTGGGGGGCAGATAGGCGCACTCGCCTTGCTTTACATTCCTCTCTCGTCCTGTCTAAGCTCGATTATGGTTGCCCTGCTTACTCGTCAGCTTCTCCTTCTACTCTTCGCCGTCTTGATGCTTTGCACCATACTGGGTTGCGTCTCAGTTCTGGTGCCTTTCGTTCGACTCCCATCCTTAGCTTGTATGTTGACACTGGCTTCCTGTCTCTCCAGGACCGCCGTGATCGCTACTGTCTTCGCTATCTTGCGCGGTCCTTGCAACATCCTTCCTCTCGCCTCTGTCGTGCTTTAACTTTTACCCCTCCTGCGGTTCCTGTTCCTCTTCACCACCCTCTTTCTGTCCGGTTATCTCGCCTACAGGATTCTCTTTCCGTTCGTATTTCTGATGTTTCTCCTCGTGTTGTTCCTTCTTTGCCCCCGTGGAGGGTCCCTCTTCCGCGGTTTTGTACATCCTTGACCCGTATCACTAAAGCTTTTACCCCTCCTACGGTTCTAAAACGCCTTTTCCTCGAGCACTTTTCTTCTCACTCCCGCTCCGTTTCTGTCTTCACCGATGGGTCTAAGTCAGCGGACGGTGTTGGCTACTCTGTTGTTTTTCCTGATCGCACTTATATGTGTCGCTTGCCTCCGGAGACTAGCATCTTTACAGCGGAACTTTATGCTATTCTCTATGCTCTTCGTCTCCTGCTTTCTCGTTGTCAGTCTTCCTTTGTGGTTGTTGTTGACTCTCGTAGTGCCCTCATGGCTCTCGGGTCCTTTAATCCGGTTCATCCAGTAGTTGTCGAGATCCAGCATTGGCTGTTTCTCGTTCACAGTAAATTTAAGTCGGTTGAGTTTTGTTGGGTTCCCAGCCATATTGGTGTGTCTTTAAATGAGCGTGCGGATGCTGCTGCCAAGGAAGCTGTCCGCTCTTGTCCCATCTCTCGCAAGGGCATTCCGTATTCCGACTTTTACCCGGTTATCCATTCCTCAGTCCTTTCCCGTTGGCAGGCTTCTTGGTTGTCTGTTACTGGTAACAAGCTCCGTACTCTTAAATGTTGTTTCCTCGTGGCCGTCCTCCTTCCACCGTAACCGGCGGTGGGAAACAGCTCTGGCGAGGTTGCGTATTGGCCATACTCGCTTAACCCATGGTCACTTGATGGAGCGCCGCCCTGCTCCTTATTGTCCTAGTTGCATTGTCCCTCTTACGGTCGTGCATGTCCTTCTTGAATGTCCTGACTTCCAGGACGAGCGTGTGTCTTGCTTTCCGACTGCCCCTCGCGGTCACCTGTCCCTCGATAGAATTCTTGGTGACTCGGATACTTTTGATATCATTCGCCTTATGCGTTTTTGTTCTCGTATTGGCATCCTTGGTGATATTTAGCGCCCTCTGATTGTTTTGCGTACTTGATGGTGCTACATAGCCTTCCCGGTTTGGTGCCTTCTTTTGATAATTACTTACTTACTTTCTCTTTTTGCCAACATGTTGACATAATGTTTAGCATTTGTAATAAATCAAGGGATATGAGTACATCATAATATACTACAATGCTTGAATGCCTGAAACAAAATAATATAAGTCACCTTTCCCATGAGACGTGTGCAGAGTGGGTGTATGAGAAAACCATTTGGTTCCCCATAGCACAGTGGTCTATGTCCTCAGCTCTCAATCAACGGATCTGGGTTCAATCCCTGGGTGGGACAGAAATGGTTGGACATGGTTTCTTTCAGCCCAACCACTTCACTGGGCTGGACAGTAGAGTGACAGTCTTGCTTCGTGCAGGTTGGTGTTCAATCCCCAACTGTTCGATTGGTTTGGCACCAATCCTTCCCCTCCCCCCCCCCCCATCCCATCCCAAATCCTTATCCTGGTCCCTTCCCAGTGCTATATAGTCAAAATGGCTTCACACTTTCTCCTGGTAGTTTCCTTCCCTTCCTTTCACCGGATGCCTCTATTCATTTAGCAGAAAAACAGATACCCAGGAGTTAGGCAATTGTTGTTGGTTGCTTCCTGGGAAGGGTCAGTAGTTGACCTCAGGAGACTTCAATAAGCCTAAGTACAGGCTTCCTGTTAACAAGAATTGTGATGCTTTCCGCCAAGCGACCAAGGCAGGAAACTACTGTGCAGTAGACCCCTCCTGTAATTTTTGGAAGTACTGTCACTTCAAGAAACCCTCTGAAGGTTCAAAGCTTTCTCTAAACTTTTATCCATTAGGAAAGTGGTATTCAAATACTGTATGTGGTCAATGACTGAATACTGTTAGTGTCTTATGTAATTAATTTGAAATAAATTTTTATTTCTCACTTAAATATAGACAAAATTGATTATGCAGAAAAACTGTTAAACTCAGGAATTCTGTTATAATTTAACCATGTTTATTTTATTGATAGATTTTTCAATTTTCAAAGTATGGGATGGTTACCATTATGTTAGTAGCATAGGGTCTTTAAATATTTTTATATGTAAAGGTATAGCAATCTTTGAGACCTTATTGTATTTGTTGAGATGATCTGGAGTCTTATTAGAACTGGCCAGCCTAGTCCCTGGGGCTTCCATCAGACTCATTAGCCCTGGCCGGCCTAGTCCCTGGGGCTTCCATCAGACTCATTAGCCCTGGCCGGCCTAGTATCTGGGGCTTCCATCACTCATTAGCCCTGGCCGGCCTAGTCCCTGGGGCTTCCATCAGACTCATTAGCCCTGGCCGGCCTAGTCCCTGGGGCTTCCATCAGACTCATTAGCCCTGGCCGGCCTAGTCCCTGGGGCTTCCATCAGACTCATTAGCCCTGGCCGGCCTAGTCCCTGGGGCTTCCATCAGACTCATTAGCCCTGGCCGGCCTAGTCCCTGGGGCTTCCATCAGACTCATTAGCCCTGGCCGGCCTAGTCCCTGGGGCTTCCATCAGACTCATTAGCCCTGGCCGGCCTAGTCCCGGGGCTTCCATCAGACTCATTAGCCCTGGCCGGCCTAGTCCCTGGGCTTCCATCAGACTCATTAGCCCTGGCCGGCCTAGTCCCTGGGGCTTCCATCAGACTCATTAGCCCTGGCCGGCCTAGTCCCTGGGGCTTCCATCAGACTCATTAGCCCTGGCCGGCCTAGTCCCTGGGGCTTCCATCAGACTCATTAGCCCTGGCCGGCCTAGTCCCTGGGGCTTCCATCAGACTCATTAGCCCTGGCCGGCCTAGTCCCTGGGGCTTCCATCAGACTCATTAGCCCTGGCCGGCCTAGTCCCTGGGGCTTCCATCAGACTCATTAGCCCTGGCCGGCCTAGTATCTGGGGCTTCCATCAGACTCATTAGCCCTGGCCGGCCTAGTTCCTGGGGCTTCCATCAGACTCATTAGCCCTGGCCGGCCTAGTATCTGGGGCTTCCATCACTCATTAGCCCTGGCCGGCCTAGTCCCTGGGGCTTCCATCAGACTCGTTAGCCCTGGCCGGCCTAGTCCCTGGGGCTTCCATCAGACTCATTAGCCCTGGCCGGCCTAGTCCCTGGGGCTTCCATCAGACTCATTAGCCCTGGCCGGCCTAGTCCCTGGCATTTTCAACAAAAAGTCAGAACCCCGAGTATTTTCGTCATTTGAGATTTAAATATAAGACTATTTTTCCTGATGATTTTTGTAATGTTGTTTAATAACTAAAAAAAATACAATAATTATTGTTTTTAAAAATAAAGATTAACAATAAAAAAGCTAGTTATCCATTTTGAGACTTAATGAGCTCAGTGTTGGCATAACACCACATATATATATATATGCAGGTCTGGAGACAGAAGAATCTAAACAGCTTGTTCACCAATGCTAGTGGAATCTCTTAACAAATGAGCTAAAGGAAAGTCTGAAGCAGTGGTCTTCGTTTCCCGATGGGACAGAAACGGTTGGGCCCCGTTTCCTTTCACCCGATGCCTTTGTTTGCCTAGCAGTATAGAGGTACCCAGGAGTTCGACAATTGCTGTGGGTTGCATCCTAGGAAAGGTCAGTAGTTGGACCTCAATAAGCTGGACTACAGGCTTTCTTTCCTGGACAACAAGAATTAAGAGGAAACCCCAGATTTAAGTGCATTAGTGGAGATCAAAATAACTGCAGTGTTCCATCAGATGTGCCAAATAGAATAAAATAAGAGACCTTGTATAAAGCAAGCCTAATTTACAAGGCATTTTTGTGATAAAAGCAATTTCAGTAGAGTACAGTATTTTCAAGTGACATTGTGCATGTAAATAACATACAGTACTGTACTCCTATACTGTGTATGTAAATGTAATATACTGGTATATTGTACAAGTAAATCAAATGTATTTGTATATTGTGCTTATGAATACAGTACAATATACTGGTATATTCGGTTTGTGATTTACCAACATGCTTCCTATCCATTGGCAAATACAGTATACTGTACATGTTAGATAATGAAATGTTATACAGTGGACCATTATTTATGACTGAACTACTGTATAACAAAACTCATGATGAGTCGAGGCATTTGGATTGGGCTAGAGCTACACTGATTTTCACCCCATCCTTGTATCCTTGTTCCTTGTCCCCCACGCCCCATCCAAGTGCTGTATGGTCATACTGGCTTAGTGCTTTCTCCTCATAATTTATTTTCCTTTCCTTGTGCTACATCTAAGATTAACTGGCTACATCTAAGCCAAAAATTGTGGGTGTTACTAACTTGATAAAAAAATACATTACAGCTAAATGAAAATAATATTGACAATGTACAGTACTGCCATGGCTAGTGAAAGGATCAGTCCTAACTTTCTACCTCTGTAGATATTGTTGTGTGTCGTGTGCGTGTTGTTTGAGCCGTGTGTGTCGGCTGCACTGCAAGAACTGGAAGATACGGACATGCCTAATGCATTTACTCTATATAGTACTGTATTAAGTTTGTAGGAAAAAATTGTATAAATTTGATGTTAACAATTCTTTGTCTGATAATTAGTACAGTATTAATCTGGACTAAATAGTACATGCATGATAGCATGAATTATATTTAAATAAATCAATGTACAGTATAGTGTAATTTAATTAATATTATATCCACTCCCAAATCTTTCTCTTTCCGATATGTGTAGTTATATCCAGACCAGGATTTTTATTCACTTCCTGCATGCACTCTGACTCTGTCATCCAGGACTCTACCTCTGAGGCTCCTCTTTCAATACACAGAGTAATCATACTAACGTGATGTGTCAGTGAGAAAATCCATAGGAGCCACGATGCTTCCACTGGAGCAGGAACAAGATGGGGGGATTGTTTGAAAATCCTGGTCTGGCTTCAGTGTAAACCTTGGAAACCCTTGTGAGCTCTCATGTGGTGTGGAAGGAGCTCAGTAGAACTCCAGGTTGCAATACTTTTGACCATGTCATGGCCTAGTTGACTAGGGCGTGTGCCTGGGAACACCCACCGCAAAGGTTCCAACTCTCATCACAGCTCCTACAGATTTTCTCATTGACACACAACATTAGTGTGATTACTCTGTGTGTAAATGAGAATATTACTAATCACAGGGTGTGTAGATTTTTGCAGTGATGAATGTGTGTAGTGAAAAGAATTATTGGGGTAGAACTCTTATACCACAGCCAGAGTGCATGTGGGCAAATATTGAAACCCTGACTTTGCTTCAGTGGAAGCCTCAGAACCCCTAGAGGATTCAGTTGAATCCCAGATTTCATTGTTTTTGAGCCTGTGGCTAAGTGGTCCAAGGCGTGTGCTTTGGAGTACCTAGTGTGCAGGCTCGAAGCTTTCTCATGTCTCCCACCGATTTTCTCATTGATACATCACATTAATGAGATGTCTTTGTGCATGAGCGTGTGAGTGAAAATGGTTAGGGTGATGCGAGACTGAAGGTGTGTTAAGGGGTTTACGAGGAGGGGGTGTGTGTGTGACTTATTATTATTAACATCTTCATTGACAAAATTTAATTACAATTTTGCCTAATCTGAGGATTTCAATTAGATCTTATTAAAGTGAAGATAATGCTGGTATTCACTGTCACACAGGACAGCGGGTCATACACAAGACAATAGGTCTAAACTGTAGGCTGAAGCACATGTATCATGGATACAATCATTGTTTTAATGTATGATTATGTAGAATCAACTTTCTATTGTGCACTGCCACACAAGAGCAGGGATGGGTTTATAAGAGATGCAGCTGAAAAATAATATAAAATTGTTCATTTTATAAAATGGACAAGCAAATTTTGGATGGGAAGGTGTATGTTAGCAGAGAAGGGGAGGTGTGAGTGGTGGGGGACCCCATACCCATCCTGTGGGTAGTGGTGCGCCCCATACCCATCCTGTGGGTGGTGGTGCACCCCATACCCATCCTGTGGGTGGTGGTGCACCCCATACCCATCCTGTGGGTGGTGGTGCACCCCATACCCATCCTGTGGGTGGTGGTGCACACCATACCCATCCTGTGGGTGGTGGTGCACACCATACCCATCCTGTGGGTGGTGGTGCACCCCATACCCATCCTGTGGGTGGTGGTGCGCCCCATACCCATCCTGTGGGTGGTGGTGCACACCATACCCATCCTGTGGGTGGTGGTGCACCCCATACCCATCCTGTGGGTGGTGGTGCGCCCCATACCCATCCTGTGGGTGGTGGTGCACCCCATACCCATCCTGTGGGTGGTGGTGCACACCATACCCATCCTGTGGGTGGTGGTGCACCCCATACCCATCCTGTGGGTGGTGGTGCACCCCATACCCATCCTGTGGGTGGTGGTGCACCCCATACCCATCCTGTGGGTGGTGGTGCGCCCCATACCCATCCTGTGGGTGGTGGTGCACCCCATACCCATCCTGTGGGTGGTGGTGCACCCCATACCCATCCTGTGGGTGGTGGTGCACACCATACCCATCCTGTGGGTGGTGGTGCACACCATACCCATCCTGTGGGTGGTGGTGCACACCATACCCATCCTGTGGGTGGTGGTGCATCCCAATACGCACATAATGGTCTCAGGAAGTGAACCCCAAAATTCATATAGCTAAGCATGTTAGTGTAGATGTGCTAGCTACACAGTTTAATGTATGTTGGTATTACTGTATATCAATAATAATGTGTATGAGAACGACCACAAGTAGTCTCTAAGGTAAGTAGTTTACATATGTGGTGAGCTAGATTCATAATTTGATTTGCCTATCTTGTAACTGTTGTTGAGGTTACTTGAGGGGGAGACTGTCCCAGGGAGACATGTACACCCATCTCGAGCAGTTTTAAAGGTTGGCGGGGTAATCCCTTTAGCTAGAAGTTAAAAAATTTTGTATCCCTTCAGCTAAAAGTTAAAAGCTCTGTACCTCAAGGTACAGTCCTTGCACCGCTGCTTTTCCTTATTCTCATATCAGATATAGACTCAAATACAAGGCACAGCTTCGTATCATCCTTTGCAGATGACGCAAAAATCACCCAAGGTAGAAAACACAAATCAAATTTGCCCATAGTAGGAAAGCAACATGTAAAGGATTTGGGAATAATGATGTCCAGTTGATCAGTCCAGCAACCAGGAGGCCTGGTCGACGACCGGGCCGCGGGAACGCTAAGCCCCGGAAGCACCTCAAGGTATGTCTGACGACCTAACGTTTAGGGAGCATAACCAAGCAAATATTGCGGCAACCAGAAAAATGATAGGATGGATTACAAGAACTTTCAAATCCAGGGATCCCATCACAATGGTTGTACTCTTCAAGTCACTTGTGTTGTCCCGTCTTGAGTACTGCTCAGTACTCACTTTCCCCTTCAGAGCAGGAGAGATTGCTGAAATAGAGGGAATGCACAGAACATATACGGCACGCATAGACGAGATAAAACACCTAAGTTATTGGGATCGTCTCAAGTCTTTCCAAATGTACTCACTAGAAAGAAGACGAGAGAGATACCAAATAATATACACGTGGAAAATATTGGAGAGACAGATCCCTAATCTACACAGTAAAATAACAACATACTGGAGTGAACGATATGGAAGAAAATGCTGAATAGAACCAGTGAAGAGCAGGGGTGCCATAGGCACAATTAGAGAGATCTGTATAAACATCAGAGGTTCGCGGTTGTTCAACGTCCTCCCAGCGAGCATAAGAAATATTGCTGAATCTTCCAAGAGAACAAGGAGTGCGGACCAACCGGGCTGTGGGCCTGCGGGCCGCTCCAAGCAACAGCCTGGTGGACCAAACTCTCTCAAGTCAAATCGGGCTTGGAGAGTAGAACTACTCTCAGAACCCCATCAAGCAGGTACCAAGAAGTCCCCAGATTCAGGCCCGTTACTCCAACGAAAAAGTAAGGATCAAGGGATATAAAACCCGGGGACCAAGTCGGTTAAGCGAGTATTAAGAAGACACATTTAGTTTCGGTAACACTCAGCACCGCTCCTGTGCCAGGTAAGTCCATTACGGGCTCACTATAGCCCGTGCTACTTGCAACTTTTGTTCTCAATAGCTAAATAACAACAATAATATTAGTTAAGAGGGACAGAGTCCAGAAACACTTCAAGATGTTACATGACCAAAGACCACATTCACCCCAAACATTTACCACCTACGGGCTACTCATGCCTGTACCACCTCTTGTGGTGGCTTAATTTACCTGAGGGCCACTATTCAAGTTCAAGTATGTTTATTGAGACAAGAAAAAATACATCTCAAAGGGATAGAGTAGCTTAGGTTATTTTTACCCCCTCCCCCCCCCCTAAAGGACTACTATTACTAGTGGCCGCGACGAGGACAGGAAGCCGGCGGCTTGTCAAAGGTCCTCCCATTTGCCCTGATGATCTTTTCCAGTTGTATTTTAAATCCCAACTGGATACAAGTGGTTTGAGTTTTGAAATGACAATAATTTTGGCATTTACGGCTTCGGCGGGTAGGCGGTTCTATGGGTTTATAACCAATGGATTGATGAAGATTAATCAATCTTCATCAATGTATCAATTGGTTACGGGGAGTGTGTGGTGTGCCTCCAACCGGACAGGCGTCTGGGGTATAGTGGTGGGCCTCACTAGGGCAGGGAGCCTGACGGTGTCTACATGGAAGCTTCATCACTGCTGTATCTTGAGAGAGTACTGCTCCCTTTTTTTCTAACATCACAAGTGTTAATAATTATAATTGCCTTGATAGGGAAGATAAAGTGGGATCTTTATATTGAAACAAATTAAATAATTTTATAATATTCAACTGTCCATCTTCCATTCGTTCCTGCTTATTTATTGACAGAGTTGCTAGGCCCAGATATCCTCTTGTCATCTGCCTCTGTTATGGTCACGATTGTCACATGTTAAATTATCTCCCACCCGTAAGCCAATTATCAAAAGTGCTGTAGAATTGCTTGGATGCCAGTGAATAGTGGGAGGCGACCGTGTTCTCTCCCCCCGTGTTAGTGTAGATATTCCGGGATAGTTCACAGTAGGCGAGTGTCTGGGTACCGTGCCCACCACCACCTACAGTAGGTGAGTGTCTGGGTACCGTGCCCACCACCACCTACAGTAGGTGAGTGTCTGGGTACCGTGCCCACCACCACCTACAGTAGGTGAGTGTCTGGGTACCGTGCCCACCGCCACCTACAGTAGGCGAGTGTCTGGGTACCGTGCCCACCACCACCTACAGTAGGTGAGTGTCTGGGTACCGTGCCCACCACCACCTACAGTAGGTGAGTGTCTGGGTACCGTGCCCACCACCACCTACAGTAGGTGAGTGTCTGGGTACCGTGCCCACCACCACCTACAGTAGGTGAGTGTCTGGGTACCGTGCCCACCACCACCTACAGTAGGTGAGTGTCTGGGTACCGTGCCCACCGCCACCTACAGTAGGCGAGTGTCTGGGTACCGTGCCCACCACCACCTACAGTAGGCGAGTGTCTGAGTACCGTGCCCACCACCTCCTACAGTAGGGGAGTGTCTGGGTACCGTGCCCACCACCACCTACAGTAGGTGGTGTCTGGGTACCGTGCCCACCGCCACCTACAGTAGGCGAGTGTCTGGGTACCGTGCCCACCACCACCTACAGTAGGCGAGTGTC